TTTTTATTTATATATAACTACAATTTTATATATATATATATATATATATATATATATATATATATATATATATATATATATGCACACTGCCGTTCAAAAGTTTGGGATCAGTACGATTTTTAATGTTTTTTAGTGGAGTCTCTTGTGCTCATTATATGGAGATATTATTTCAATTTCTAATATTGGTTTTCTGTTTTAATATACTTTAAAATATAATTGATTGCTGTGATCAAAGCTGAATTTTCAGCATCATTACTCCAGTCTTCAGTGTCACATGATCCTTCAGAAATATGATATGCTGATTTATTATCAGTGTTGGAAACAGTTGTGCTGCTTCACGTTTTATTTTTAAATTTTTTTGGAAACTGATACTTTTTTCTGGATTCTTTTATGAATTATGAATAAAAAGTTAAAAAGAGCAGCATTTATTTAAAATTAAAATCTTTTCTTTCATAGAGTCTTTAAGAGTCTTTTATTTTTTCTATAAAAGTCTTTACTATCACTTTTTATCCATTTAACACATCCTTGCTGAATAAAAGTATTCATTACTTCCAAAAAAGAAAGAAAAAAATGTACAGACTCCAAACTTTTGAACGGTAGTGTACATTGTAACACAAGATTTTCATTTCCATTTTCCAAAAAAAAACAGCTTGAGGCTGTCTACACAGGACGTGACAAAGTGACCATTGCAAATCATTTTGTGTCAGTACTAGGGGTGTGCGATATTGACCAAAAATAATATCTCAATATTTTCTGGAATTGTATCGATTTTATATAATTATACTATATAATAGACTAAATATAGACTAAATATAATTAGACTATATTTAGACAATATTTTGCTGTGTGTTATTGTGTTGATATCCTAAGGACTAACGGGGACAGCTGACTCCTAAAGTTTTTTATATATATTTCATATTCTGTGTGGTCAGTTCACAGCAGCGATAGAAATGAATCTTTTCCTGTTTAAATTGATTTTTACCTTTTATGGGCCTTTTTACCTTTATAAAGCCATTTTTTTCTAAAACTGTGCAAATTCTTACATTTAATCAGTCAATTATAATAATAATACATTTAGGCTGTTACTAAACAAATGAAATCAGTATCAACAAAATTAATCTTTGCAGAAGTTGCATATGAAGTGGCATTTAGATGTATTTACACGTTAATGCAGCTTAGAGGGACATGGAATGCTTTAACCTGCAGTTACAAATGCATAAATAATCTTTTGATATTTTAAACATGAAATGTTGAATACTGATATTTGAAATTATTTAAAAAATGAAAAGATACTTTAAAAATGTAAAATTAAAACTGCCAGTAGGTGGCAGCAAGCCACTGTTAAGGGAGTCATTTTGATTGAACCGAATCATTTAAATGGTTGATTCATTCAGGGATGAAACGCCGTCATGTTGCTCAGAGACACAAAACAGTGCTGTGGCTGTGTTTGGAATGATTTTTGTTGGCGAAATAGCGTAAAAATAGCCAATATGGTGTCTAAAATGTAAGTCTCTTGATATTAACTTATAGTTTATTGAACTGTTGTATAAAATCAATATCACATTTGTAACCATGCTGATTTTTTTTTAAACGGCACTCTTCGTGTGTTATTGATTAACTATATGAAATTACATAAATATATAAATTTTCTGCCCCCTTATCTTGAATTGTGTGATCATTTTTAATGCATATTAATAGACTGAATCATGCAGTGAAAGAACGCACTCTAAATGTGTACGCGCACTAAGTTAGTGTAGTCGCTTATGCGTGCACTCTGAAGGTGTGTTTTGTTTGGTACTGTATATAAAATGTTTCAAATTCATCTGTCACTTGTTAAAAGGTTGTGTAAGTAACCCTAACTATGAATCAAATTATTAAAAGGTTTAAGAAAATACATCTTACATTATCACATTACATTATCTTACAATAAACATTTGTTGAATGCCAGGAATATGAAATCAATTTTAATTATACTTTTATATCTTGTAAGCGAAACAATTTTACTACTGTGTTAAGGGCTGGTACTTGATAACAATGTAAAATCTGGGTCCTGAAGCACAACCAGTAGAAAAGCACTGCATTAAAAAATAAATAAATAAACCTTTATTTAAATTCTTAGATCATTTAAAGAAAAACCAAAGTGACAATGAAATGTTATAATGTGAGCATAAAGTATGGCATAAACTATCATGAGTCAGGATAAATGTAAATAAAAGTGGATAATTTTGTTAAAAAGCAGTATACAGCACAGATCGTCATCAGTAGAGTGCCATTGACCACTTGTATTCTGAGATGGTCCTCACTGCAGAACACAAGATCCAGGGGGCGAGGTTGGATCCAGATCCAACTCCTCCCACCTTACATATACCTAAACCTACCTGTCTCCACACCCTGATCCCTAAACCTACCATCTCCACCCCCTTGATGTGGATCCAACCCCATCCCCTGGATCTTTGTTCTGCAGTGAGGGGCTACTGTGTATTCTAGGAAAGGGATTTATAGTGTTAAAGGAAGCACAGAGAGCACTTCAATGTGGAGAACCACTGTTATGAAGAGTCTCTCTCAACACCACCTTCTCACATCTCAGTGCCCTACAAACATAAAATGCATAACTGACTCTGAATATTTTAAACAACTCGTGAGGACAATGTACTTTTTCCCTTAATACATGATGCTCACACATAATAAATATGTTGACTTAACAAAAATGCACATTATCGCTCTGTATCAAAACTAAGTGATGTCTCCATAGACAGCATTTTAAGGCATCACAGATATGCTACTGACATGAAGGCTGCTCCAAAGTGACCCAAATCAGTCACTCACGATATTCCATTTCAGTTAGCATGCTTTCACAGAAGGTAGTATACAACAAAACAACTCACTAGGTTTTGGAACAGAGCTTACAGTATGTTTATGAAAAAATGTACCTTAATATTTTGTACAACAGGTGTATAGTATATGAACTACAGTAGCTTGTGACTTGCTCCTCACCCATCTTTCGTCTGGTCTTGGAGTTGTTATTGTTGACACCGACTTTCTTGGCTTTTTTCACTCGTTGATATCTCAGTGCTTCTATCCTCTCAGACCCTGCAGAGCCACTTGTTGCACCTCGACGTTTTCTGTGCAGGAAGCAAAGAGAGGCAAAGCCATCACACAGGGGAAGGGTAGTGCGGTGGCTCGCCATGCGTGCTAAACTGGTCATAGTAGTGATCACATGGTCTTTGCTTAAGTTACTGTTGCTAGTACAGGCCTACAGGCAACTCAGATTACCCATGAATCTCTTACACTCAAATGATCTGAACCAGGCATGGTCCAGTTTAGCATGATAAGTATGATGCAAAACATTTATTTGAGTGGAAAGAGAGGTATACTTAAAGTTTTTCAGAAATTTCCCTCAGAAAATTACATTTGTAACTGCAGGTTTTTCAATAATTAGAGATCAAATCAACATTTAAACAGAAAAATAAGAATTTTGTTTTAAAATGTATACAATACCTCAATATGGCAACATTATGTATCTGTTTAAAGAGAAATTTTGAGAAATCATGACATAGATTGGGGTAATTACAATGGATGAGCATACTTAAATACATATTAGAATAAAACTGTAAAGGTAAGGTACTTTAAAATGTTACTTATGAAAACATTTATATATATAATACTTTATCAATCCATTCTCAGACATTTAAGTTTGTATGTACAGTCTTCCCATCCAAATACAGTATGGAGGCACTTAAACCGGCAGCCCACATACTCTGCCCCACACACTCACACGCTCACACACAGCTCTCATGAGGCACAATAAAATAACAGAAATAGCATTATAGAGGGACCGTCCTTCTGCTGAGGCTGCCGAGAGAAATTAAAGGCCATTAGTAGAGGGGGAAAATCACAGCTCAGCGACAAAGCATTGTCAGAAATGTGCTCATAGACATGAATACTGTCTACAATGGGCTTCACCATGCTGACAGGGGGAGAGATGGCGGGAGGGGAAAATGGCTACTTGGGAACAGTCACATAATGAAAAATAAAACAAAGCACTTGGACAACAAATGTAACAAGAATTTAATCAGATATGTGTTGTTTTTTCAACTGAAGAGCAATATTTAGCAATGGCATGCATGGCAATTTGCACATGGAACAGAACTTTAAAGGGGAATACTCTGGAAAAGCACTTCATTGGGTGAAAGCAACAACTTAAAAATTAGCATTTTCTGGTGCCAATAGTGCTTTCCCCGTTGTAAAGGAAGTGCAGGAACTGTTTTGGAAGAAAACTTGCTTCACATGATTGTGAAATGTGTTCTGCAGTCCAAACAAGTGCAGTTTTATGCATACACTGCGTGTACACTAGATCAATCATGATTATACAAAAAATGTTGCATTTTATCATACAAGGTGTTTGTACAAGGCTCATGTTTTTTAAATCACTTGAATTGGTTTCAAGTAATAAAAAGCACCTACCTAAAAGGAAGCATAACATGCAACTCCTGCTTGAGACGATCCCTAAAAAATGGTCAGCTTGATCCAGGTCAAGTTCAAATTCCCAGCCACTGCAAGTAGTGTTTGTGTTGACATTTAATATAAACCTTCATTTAACAGCACATTTATTTTATAAACAGCAAGTTTACCAGGAAGGTTACCATGAATCAAACCGTGAGGACTTTCTAAATGGCGGATTCTCATAAAATCAATATTAAAGCTCGGTTCTTGATATATTTTATTTTTATTGCATCTCAAGCATGAGGTTGTGTTGATTAAATGAAATGTGCTGGGTTTCCTAATCAATAACTGGGAAATGTACATATGCATACTAAGACCAGAATGCATATAGGATTCAAGACTGCAGAACTAAAATATGTGGCTTTCTGAAAATAAATATATAAAAAAAAATCTGTAAACTTGGTAATAACAAAAGGAAAGCAAGACCCAAAGACTTGTATTCCCCTTTAAAGGACAAGGTGAATAAAAGCCCCACCTGCTGCCCCCCCCCCTTTCAGACATGGATCCAACCCTTACCTATTGCGGTGTAGAGGACCTGGTCACAACAACGCTGCCCAGATAGCTGAGATCAATCAAAAACAAAGCAGGTAAGACTAGAGGAGTCATCAAGAATGACCAAATGCCCTATTTAAGATGATGGCGACATTGCAACAGATGAGAGCAGACAGTCCCTGCAACACGATTCGCCCAACAAGCCTCCCCCTGGCAGTCAGACCTGGGGTGACCTGGGTGACAGGAGGCAGGAGAGAGGGGGGAGTGTGGAAAAGGCAATCATGCGGTCAGGTTACACTGGAACAGGAGAAGAGCCCTGTCCCTGTTGTGCCAGACACACCAACCTCAGCCTCCACATCATACACTCTGAGAGTCGTCCTAAAAAGCCTGGAGTTAGTCAAAACGGTGGGCTTCATTTGGACTTGGATTGGTCAATTTTATTGCACATGTGGGGTTCCTCCTGTTGGGTGAAAGGCAGGGTAAAGCATGACAGTGGATGGAAAGGCTGAGATCCTGTGGTGGTGTACCTCTGATTCCAGGCTTTTTAGGGGCTTCATTATTGCATTTTAATCAACTTAAAATGGAACTTCTCCAGACACGTAGCCCTAAAAGGTCTGTCACCACGTCTGTGAAGCAAATAATTCATCTTGACTTGGAATCTGTTACCCCACAACCAAATTTGGTTAAAGTCGCTTGCTTTGGATCTAAGACAAGTGCTTTAAAGTGCTTCACAGACCTTATGAATGAAATTGGATGTCTGACATGAAAAGCAGAATCAGTAGCATAGAAAACTATAGCACAAATTGTCTATGTAGATGGCTAAAATGGCTTTGAATGGTTTTGAATAATGCAAGGCATCTGGGGCAGTGTCTCTATGAAAGCATGAGTTCTAACATTACTAAAACCAGCTTAAGGCAAGCAGCAAACATAGTTTTGCCGATGAGAGCAAACTGTAGCTTTAGACTAAAATCAAAAGTGTGGTTATTTCTGCACTGAGAAGACCTATAGATGTTACACATAGGCCAGATGGTACATGGTTGATCAATCCACACTCTACAGGCCTAGTGCACCTACCCTGAAGCTGATAACTGGGGTGGAGAGGGTTCTGATGGAAGGATCTCCTCCTCAGTCCTCCTCTGGGTTGGCATCTGCCCGAAAATGTTGCTGCTTTCTATAGGAGGTGAAGGGGACTGTGACGGATAGCTTGCTGCTGAGGTGGCAAATGCCATGTGGGATCGGTAGCTGGGACTTGCCCTTCGGCTGCCTTGGCCTTGAGCAGGAGAGGAGGAGGGGGAGGACCTTCTAGAGAAACTAGCTGAAGAAGGAGGTTGAAGGGTGATCTCAGACATCTCAGGAGGGATCGGGGTTTGGATGATACTGGGGCGGGGCCTGGGGCGCACTACAATCTCCGGTGAGCCTTCGTGAGAGCTAATAGGGCTCTGAGTTAAAGGTGAGAGGCGGGATGGCTGGAGAACTACCATGCTGGGTTCCATCCTGCGGGGCTGCCTTGGGCTAAGCCTGGGTGTAAGCTCGTACCATCGCATATCCAGGCTTCCGAACGAGCTTGGGCCAACCATGTGAGACACCGGGTCAGAGTAAGGCAATACCGGTACACCCATACCGTGGCTTGTGTGTCTTAGCTGCCCTAGACTCTGTGCCTCTTGCATAGGTAAACGCTTGGCTGGAAGGCCCTGAGGCTTGACCTTGCTGGGAGACTTGCCTGGGCGGCTCTTTGGGGCCTCCAGCTGCAGGATACCAGGGTATGGAGATACTTGAACGGTGGAGGGCTGGAGGGCACTAGGAGGAAGAACAAGAGGGGGAGGAAGGGGAGGTTCTGGGTGAAGATGCAAAGGGTGTGGGGGTGGAAAAATAAAGTGAGGACCCTCGATTGTGGCAAAGGTAAAATCGGGTCTCTGCCAGATGTCTGGAGAGCGCGAGGTGGAGGGGTGTGCCAAGGGAAGGGTGTAGCCAGAGACTGCATAATGCTGAATCTCTCCCTCACCGATTTCCTCTGGGATGGTGGGATGACCAAAAGGGCCCTCCAGGTGGTAAGGAGGAGAAGACATTACTGAGCTGAGAGGGCTGGTGTCTGGCATGTAGAAGGGAGGCGGAGGCTCAGGTTCCCCTGGACTTCCCAAGTAGCTGTAGAACTGGCCATGGGAAAAGGCTCGGAAGTGAGGAGCACCACGAATCTGTCCTGTAGCCTGGAGTCGACTGGTTTCCATGATAGTCATGCCTTTCATGGGCCTCTGGAAGCGGGGACTGTAGGCCGGGGGCTGCAAGTAAGACTCCTGGCTAGAAGAAATGGGCGAGATCTGATGGGGTCTGAGGGTTGCCATCATAGGCGGCATGGGCCCCGGATCATCATTCTCCTCATCTGACTGTCGAAATTCAGGGTACAGGTCAGACTCCTCCACGAAGGGGAAGCCCTCGATGCGCCGTGCCTTAACTGGAGTTTCCGCATCCATAGGTTCCATGACAAAGCGCCCATCTGGGCCACGACTGATCAATTCAATTGGCGTAGTAGCCTCCGCCTCGTGCTTAGAGACGCTATATTTCTTGCTAATTATTGCTCTCTTGGTCTTCTTGTATAAAGACAGCTCCTTCTCCTTGGCAGGACTTTGAGGAACCTTCTTAGCTCGTAAACCATCCTCAGAGGACTCTGAAGGAGGTCCTATGGAGCGGACACTTTCTGGACTAACCTTTCCAGAAGATGATCTATAAAAGCGGGAAAGAAAAGAAAGAAGAATAAATAATGAGTTACATCATGCACATTGTAGTTTCAGGTACAAATACATCTTAGACAATTGGTTATAAATCTGATGTTGTTTATCACTCATCTTAATGCTCTCATTTGATGATACCTATGATTCAAATATACTTATAATACACCACCAACAGACCAACACGCACTGTGAAAGTCTCTTTGACAGTCTCGCACCCAAAGTACTTCAAGGTATCCTACACCCACAACTCTCAAATGGCGCTTTTCCACTGCGTGGTACGGCTCGGCTCGGTTTGCGTTTCCACTGCAGTTTAGTATCGCTTTAGAGTGGGCGGGATTATTCACATGTCGTTATAGTTGCGCGGCCTCTACTGTCGCGACTCCTAAAAAACTTTTTCATTCCGCGTTGCCCCATCAAGCTCGCTGGATCCACTCCTCTGCTATCAACAAGAGGAATGTCTGTACTTCCTCGAAACAGCCACTTTTTGGTTGTTAAAAAAAGGTGTGCTCGTTCAAAACAGTTGCGTTCGATCCTTCGCTGGCTGTGCTGATTTATATCTAGCGGTTCTGTTGTGTTTGCGTCACAAGTTCAGTGACGAAGGTAGTGACGATTCTCTCCGGCCAATCCGTGATCTGCAGAGTTTACCCGTCACATTTTGGTAACGGTACGGTTCACTTGGAACCTCAACCGAGGTGGTACTAAAAAAGTACCAGGTACCAGGTACTGTATCCAGTGGAAAACCCCCCAAAAGTGAACCGTACCGTGCCGTACCATGCAGTGGAAAAGCGCCAAAAGTGACAGGTAAGGTGAGCATGACGTAAGCTATGAAATCCAACAGTGCATATACATGTCAGCAACTGAAACTTGCTTATTTACTTGAAATGATTACTGTCATTGTTAATATGTCAATGAATTGCTTTTTGGAATTTTTCTGACATACATTTGAAACATTTCTTAAGATAACCAGTTGTCCTCAAGCTTTCAGTGCAACATGCTCTTTTAGCATTAACCAGAATGATTGCTGAATTGGTTTGTTTACTTTAAGGTCATAATCACGTTAGCTAAATGTAACCTATGATTTAGATTCGCAAGTTTATCTTTTTGACATCTTTATGCTACTTTACATATTAAAAACACATCAGTTATCTTCAAATCAGTTTGAAAATATCTAGGACACAGGACTTGAGAATAATTACTCAATTATTTAAGGCCCTATAAACTAGCACCCTGAAACCTAATAGAGATGACTACATATGATTACAATGACTTTGATTGTTGGTTGTAATTTTCACTGTTTTTTTCTGGATATATCTTGTCATAACTCATCCTTGTAAAGGCCTTAACACACTCTCCAGTCACCACTGTTTGAATGTCACAGCTAATTCAGTTTAACAGCATTGTTTTAGTGTGTGTGAGTGTATGTATGGCAGACATCACAAATCCAAAAAATTTGTCCTCATTAATCATAGATGGTGACATTTTCCAAGATATTCAACTGAGAGTATTTATGTGACCAAACAACGAGAAATAACAAGCATAGTCCAGAAAAGAAGAGAGAAAATCAGGAAATGTTGGATAGCCATAATACTTTATTCAATAACAAATATACATGTAATGGCTGAAGCTTTGTTTTTGCTGAATCATTACACCATGTACTTTCACTTGTAATGGCTGCGGTGACGGAGCTTGGTTTCCATGGCAACTGCCTACTGATGACCACCATTCAGGTGCAATGACGTTATGCCTGCTCCAAACAACAATACAGTGCACCATAAAGCAGGCTTTTCCCCAGCCAAGCAAAGGGAACACACAATACACTCTTTACCAAAAGAAAGTCGCCACCAAAGAAACTTCCCACAATTGTTCTCACAAATGTTTAGAGGCATAATACACAACATGTCTGTTAAAAGAATGAAAAGAAAATGAAAACACACAGACAGGTTTGCTTGGATATCGGCTCGCTTGTCAACAAGGCTGTGCTTTCATTTTGCAAGAGTAAACATGTTTTGGATAAAAACATTGATAAAACATCAAAGATTCAGCGTGTTTTGGTTGTAATTATCCTTATCAGCTGATCATGTCAAGTTGTTGTCCTGCTAAATGTTGTGATGAAAGATAATGACCTCAGGACTGCTGATAGGAAGATGCTATCAGACCTTATAGAGGCCAGCAAAATAAACCTTTTCTGGCTTTACCTGGCCTTCCATGCTAATTTCTCCTAGAACTTTGTAATACAGTCTTCAAACTGAGACTCAATTCAGATTCTACGGCACATGGAAAATTCATACAAACATGGTGATGCTTTTTACGTCACAAAATTCCAAAACTTCCTGGACTAATCAAGTTGAGCATTTAAGAATGATTGTCTGGCAATGTACAGTAATACCACAGTTAATACAGTTTTTGGCACAGAATATCTCATTAAAAGCTCAATCTACTGTTACTATTCACTGTAAAAGTAATTGCAAATAACAACACAAAGTGCATAAGCTTAATACTATACCAGGATTGTGCAATGTTTACCATTTATATAATATAAATACACTAACAAAACAATAAATAACAACAAAAAGCAATCTGAATGCAGGAACACTAGCTGCTGCACGTTAACCTCTGGTGTGCAAGGGTGTGTTGGTGACATACAGGCAGTTCAGGTGCTTGGGAGGGAGAAATCTGAAACGAACATTATGGGGGTGGTTAAGACACATGAAAGAGAGTGCAAGCCACCCCTTGGCAGCCTGTGGGCTTAATGGGTCTAATGTTATTTAAACTACTGTAAATGTGTGGAAGCACAAAAGTTCACATGCAATGCATTATGTAGACTACAGCAAGTAAAATATTTTAATATTATTACAAAACTGAAGCCATGATATATATGTGTGTGTATGTATACACACACACACACACACACACACACATTAGAATTTAACATTGGGTGATCAAAGTTGGATATAATACAGTGGTCAGAAAAAGTATGTGAAATCTTTGGAATTAGTTGGTTTTCTGCATTAATTGGTCATAGAATGTCATCTGATCTTCATCAGTCACAAGTATTGACAGCAACAATTAGTGTGTGTGTTGTTAGCTTAATGTTTTTATGTTTGCCATTGTATGCAAAAACCCAACCAATTCTAATGGGTTCACATATTTTTAGAGAGAGAGAGAGAGAGAGAGAGAGAGAGAGAGAAACAGACAGAGCAGTGCGATGATACAGTTTTTTTCATGTAACTATCCCTATACTTCTATATCAGTTAACCAATCAGAAGAATTATTTTTGTAATACATAACCAGTTGCTCCACCATGAGAACAATTGCCAATAAAGATGATAACTTCAAACAAAAATACATTTACTTACACTCTTGTAGGTGTTTAAAAATAATACAAGCTTTACATTTCTATTGTGAAACCCTCTGGCACACTTTCCTGCTTCCATTATAAGTGTATTAATGTAAATGTTTCTTTATACAAACATTCACACGCACTAAAACAGAAATTACGTTGAAAATAACCCAGAAAGCACCTTTAATTTCACGGTCCTAAGTGTAAATGTGTGAGTCGGCAGGATGCCAAAAGGCAAGAAAAAAAGTCTTAAGCTTTGGGTCTCCTGTGTGTAAAGCGCATGGGTTCACAGCCTGCCAAAACAACCGTGCCCAGCAGCGCACATGGGACGCATGCGACATAAGGCAGTGCACACTGCTGAACAAGGTGCAGGCACTCACAGAGGACTGGAGGGCGGAGGCCTGTAGCTGCTCCTTTCCTGGCCTTCCCAGTAGGGTTCTATGCCAGGTAGAGGGGTAAGAGGACTCCTGCGGCAGGAAACACAATAGAGATGGGAAGGATGGGGAGGGGAGGGGTCATGTTGGCAATTAATGAGGCTGCTTTCCATACAAACAACATAGTAGGAGAATAAAAAAACAGTGACATGGAAAGATAGAAGTGAAGGAAAGAGGAAGGGAAAGCTTGAGGACATAAGAAATGATAATGATCGAGGGCACTGGATTGTTCATTTATTAAATGACACAGTTTATCATCTTTCACTCATTTTAGGGCCTATGCATGCAGGGATGTCAAGGCCAGCTTGGATCCATGCAGCATCCTTGTTTTGATAATACCAGTAGACATTCAGTGGTTTATTTGAGATTCCTGACAAAAGCAGCTGATATACAGTGGAGTGCAAAGATCTGAGACTAAATGCTTTGGGTCTGCATTTTTTAAATAATTATATTTCCAATTTTGATTATTATTATTTTTTTATTATGAAAATTAAATAAAAACTTTTTTTTTTTGAAAGTTGTTAATAACAACTGGACTCAAAATGCATCATCAAGTTTTACACAATCTTGAGGAGTTTGTTTGCCAGCATGATTTGATGCTCCAAAGACCATTTTGTGCTTCAGTGGAAACAATGCTGATTACTACACAAATTTGCTTATTTATTGAAATAGTACAGAATGTTAAGCATTTCTCATTCATTTGACATTATTAACATTTCTTCATTTTATATGTTCAAAATCCCCAAACTTCTCTCTCTCTCTCTCTCTCTCTCTCTCTCTCTCTCTCTCTCTCTCGACAATGAATACCAGATTTTTAGTGACATCAAACTTTTGCCTCCACTGTATAATTTTGTCATTTTCTCACTCTCTCTCTCTCTCTCTCTCTCTCTCTCTCTCTCTCTCTCTCTCTCTCTCTCTCTCTCTCTCTCTCGACAATGAATACCAGATTTTTAGTGACATCAAACTTTTGCCTCCACTGTATAATTTTGCAAAGCACAAGCCTATGTAAAAGAAGTACAATAACTCAAAGTATATTTTGTGAAAAATGAATGCCATAACAATAAATTAACAATACTGCAGATAAAAGCTACTAGCTAAAATATTCAATTCAACTATAATCTAAACTATAATATTCAATACTACAGCACTACCACAAAGAGATACCATATCCCAGCATATCATGAAGTAAGGTGAAATGCAATAGCAGCATGTTTTTAAATGTCGCGACTATGCAGTTTATGACTGACATCATACCAGAGTTAACCCACTTAGCTTTAGATTACTGAAAGATGCATGTAGGAGGATCAAGTACTATAAATGTAATATCTGAGACATCACTAGTCTAAATGTATTATTATAGAGAAGCACTGTTACATGCTCACTAGTCACTTAAATCTCATCGTTTGTGTTTCTGAAGCATTAGAGGACATCAAAGGATGCAAGTAAATTGGCTTCTTCTTGATTCATCAAAGCAGTATGCGATACTGTGATAGGATAATACTTTAAATATTAGATTATGAAGAAATAATATGAATAAATACTATTGAATGTATAAATATGGAAATCCTAGTCACCGATGTCCACTGTTATTAGCACTGGGAAGAAAGACAAACAACACAGTTAGTGTAAAATGTAAGTTAAGACAAGCCGAGATTGTTGCAGTGGTATACCGGAGAAATAAAGTATTATACCCTCCCTGTTCTTCAGTAGTGTGTTAGGGTACCATGGTAAATGCAAAATAAAAATACGAGAGCATTGTAACAGGCATTCTTTGAAGCAGAGACAACACAGCATGCACATTTACCATGGTAGAGAATCCACAGATATTGTGGTTATCACCAAAACTCATTACCGTTCACCCCCAAAAAACAAAAAAAATTCTGTCATCTGGGCTTTTTATACAACATTAACTCTGGATTATCATCTTTTTAAAAAACGGTTTTGACATTGGGTTAAGCTACTTGTTGCGCTAGTAATTCTGAAAGGCGATTATCACTGCTTTTAATGGTAAGTTATGAAATACTGCTTACTGCTTATAATGTTCAGGAGGGAAATAAACAACAAATAAAAGCCTCAATGCTTTAAATATTCATGTGCTTATAAGCAGTTTTAAGTTAATATTCAGTGAAAAATTGTACATACAGTATCTACCAGTTTTGAGACACACAAGAACAAATTTTGGGTGAACTACAGAGACTCCATTATTATATAAACTCCATGTGTGATTAATATTCATCTTCACAATAAATTGTTATTCTGTGTGTTTGGATTATAGCAAACAAAATGATTAAAAAACACTTTTAACACAACTGCACTTTAAATCACAAATGTTGCATATCATTTACAGTACTTGTACTGTACAAGCATGTTTTACACTCTTTTCAGTGTGGGATTGTTGCCATGGGAACTCAAAAGCAGCAGGTCACTTTAAATCAGTGTCTGTGCAGAAACCAATTACTATCAGGATGAACCTGACCCTAATCCTACAGTACTTTCTTTGCTAGGGTAGTAAGTGTCATCAAAACCATTGACCATGAGGCCAAAACCACAATCAATTCATCAAGCAGGAATACATGAACAGCATTTTTTTCCCTACAATAACTTAAATAGCTAATTAACAGCCATAAAACACAAGATCAGTTACAGAAAAATAGGAATAAACTTCAAATGCCATTAATAAACAGTGTTGGGGAAAGTTACTTTTAAAAGTAATGCATTACAATATTGCGTTACTCCCTAAAATAGTAACTAATTACGTTACTTATTAATGGAAAGTAATGCGATACGTTACTTTGAGTTACTTTTTAAATCTGGGCAGGGTATGCTTGTTTGGTTTTAATATAAAAAGTTATTTTACAAATATAAAAGCCCTTTCACACCAAAAGTGAAAAGAATATGCCTCAGGCTGAAGGAAATGTAAATTCATGTCTGTACAGTAGAGGGCGCAGCTCAAACAAATTGCATGAAGAATATGACGCAGGAGAAGAAAGTTCAACACTATTCCAAAATAACAAAAATGAAACACAAATGTGTTATTTTTGCTTGGTAAGGTTGAATTGGATCATCGAAAGTCAGTAGCAAAGACACTGGTTAATAAAATGGGATTAAATACATAAATGATATTTGTCTTATTTAAAATATTTAATTATTGCCGGTTTGTATAATATTCGGAGTTTGCTTTTAACTGTTTTTATACATTTTGAGGAATACTGAATCTGTTTTTGTGCAGATGAGATGAGTAAATGTGTTTATATTTAGTCTAGAACTACAGTAACATCATGTTCACACAGCACACACAACTCCTCTGCACTTACTCCCGATTTCTCTCAACATGGGGACAGGAGAGCTGTCAGTCAATACATGGGAAACAAAGTAACTGGCATTACTTATTTGAAAAAGTAACTCAGATATTTCCTTCTAAATGAAAAAGTAATGCATTACTTTACTAGTTACTTTAAAAAGTACTTATGTTACCCCCAACACTGTTAATAAATGCTGTAATGCACCAATAAAGATGCAGTTTTGAATTCAGCTCAGGTTGTTTTTTTCTGTCACCTCTCATTTGGTAATTAATAAAAGTGGCAAAACGATGATAGATAGATAGACAGATGGACGGACAGACGGACAGACGGACAGACAGATAGACAGACAGACAGACAGACAAACAGACAGAGAGAGAGAGATAGATAGATAGATAGATAGATAGATAGATAGATAGGTGCAATCCCTTTACAACATGTCCAACATTTTGAAGTAGTTAGTTAATGATAATAAACTTCATATGGCAAAATGGGCCAGTGGTGTTTCTAGTAAACATACAAAATAAGATAATTTGTGAAAAAAACAAAAAACTAAATTCTGCTTAGGGAAGTACCCTCAAAGGTACACTTTCGCACCTTACTTACACTACTAATACGCTGTTGTATACTGCTTTTTTCTGACAGTGTTCTTGCTAAATGTGCAAATAGAAAACATGTCTTTAAATTGAGTATTTGAAGTCTTTAAACTGCCAAAAACGTGAAGCTTATATTACATTTAGTTGGTCATTTTCAAAAATATACTTTGCTAATTAACACAAAACATGAATATAGTGAATTAGATTAGTGTCTAAGATTTGAATAAGCCAGTACAGTAATGCACAATAACATCTATTGTAAAGCAGCAAATCTCTACCATGTGGCCAGGGCCAACTTCCAAAGGGGCTTCAAGATGACTTAAAATGATTTAAAATAAGACAAAACAAGCATTATAATCAAGATATTTATTATTTTAATTCACCCCCTCAATAACTAAATATAGCTAAATAGCAGCAATAGCTAAATATTGCTGTGGAAAATAGGGGACCTTGGAGTCTAAAAGGCTGAGAACCATAGATCTAAAGTGCAAATCAAGGCAAACACAAGAGAGAACTATTTAGAAATTCAGACTAATGAAAAACTGCTCTTTGATGAAATTAACTTAGACCGTCCAGTCCATGAACACACTACATCACAGGCCTATCACTGAGCAGTAATTAATGGCTCTTCTAATAGGATCTTTAAACGAGAGGGCGTGCTTGTCGGATGCCTTGATTTATGAAGCACATTCCACTCTCTGTCTGAATAAACTGAGGTGCGAGGGGAGAAGGGGGAAGTTCTTAAAATACATTACTTACGGAGTCTCCACGCTCTTTCTGCAGTGTGTTATAGACAGAGGGGGATCTGTTGAAGAGAAAACCAGATTAGAGATTTCAGACACGCATAAAAAGACTCATTATTAAAAATAGTTAGTCTACTAGCCAGACTAACTATTTTTACTAGGAGCACTGTAGCCCCTGATTGAAATTTTTTAGGAGCACAAGCAGAAAATTTAGGGGCACACCTTAAATCAGCCTGCAATGCAATCATTCACATAATTTCCCCATTTTAACTGTATTACTGACAAATGCTTTGATAATAAATTGACTTAACAATGCACAGTATTCTTTTAATTTCAGAGGGACATGGCATTACTCATTACAGTACGAGAACACATTCGTAGATGGAAACAAATTATGTGGCCAGTACAAAAAATCAACTAAACAAATAAATTAAATGTAAACATTTCTACAGAAGTTCTGCAGATGGAGGCGCCAGGAGCAGATTTGGTAGTGCTGGGGGTGGTGTGTGGGAGTATTAAAAATATATATAATTTAATCATTAAATTTCTATTGTTTTGCATGTTCATTTCTTGTTTATTTCTTGTTTATACACATTTGACAATAAAGCACTAAGTGTCACGAATCCGGTCTATGAACTTCCGTTCACTCACCAGCAGAAGTCACCCGCTCACTACATGGACTCTCACACTACACAGACTGTTACACTATACCCTGGACTACATTTCCTATCATCCATTGCACTGATTGCACACAGCTGTAACCAATCACACGCTCACCTAAAAGCTATTACACACACTATATAACATCCACCCAGATCCTGCTCAAGTCGCAGAGTATTATTTAGCGTTTTTCACTGTTTAGTTGATAGCTACTTTATGGAGCCTGCTCTATCATTCCCTGTTTATTCATAGTCTTGCCTTGCCTGTTTTGATTCTCGCCTGTGTATTTCGGATTACCCCCTTCGTCTTGCCGTTTGGACTCTGTTTGCCCCTGACTGGATTATTGCTGTGTACCTGGATTATCTCTATTTGCCTTGCCCTGTTGGATATTATTGACCCACGCCTGTTTACTGGACAGCTCTTGTGTTTTGCCCGTGCAATTCCTGTTCGCTGGTGTTTCGACCCTGCCTGTGTTTGTGACC